TTCTATGTTGTTGTATTTCTCTCAGTATTATTTATGGCTACTAAATTTTATCTCAGGATTATAATGGTTTTTGCTCATCTGAGATTATTAGAATAAAACTGTTCTCCCATATTTTCTTCTACATTGTTTCTTTTGTTTTAGTCTTTTTGAAAAATAAGTGAAATATAATATATTTGCAAAACAATGTACAAAGCTCAATAAATTGTCAATATTCATGTAACCAAAGCAGGAGTCAAGAAGTACAACAGTGCCTGCCCCCAGAAGCCATAGCCATGGCTATTTTATTTGCTAATCTTTCTACCATGCCTCCGCAAATAGTAACCACTATCTTATTTTTTGTGTGTAAATACTTACTTTTCGTTGTGTACTTATTATGCACCCCAAATGTTATAATTTAGCTGACATATTCCGTTATTTATTCTTATACAGATGGAATCATATGGTATATATTCTTTTTTTTTTTTGAATTTTTTTTTATTATTGATTTTAGAGAGAGAGGAAATGAGAGAAAGAGAGAGACAGAAGCATTGATGAGAGAGAACATGGACTGGCCGCCTCCTGCATGCCCCCCGTTAGGGATTGGGCCCACAACCTGAGCATGTGTCCTGATGGAAAATCAAACCAGCAACTTCTTAGTGCAGGGGTCGACACTCACCCACTGAGGCACACCAGCGTAACTGGTATATATTCTTTTGTGCCTGGCTTCTGTTATTGAACATAATAGTAATCCATGTTGCTGTACATGTCTGTGGTTCGGCAATGTTTACTGTTGTATAGAAATCTATTATGTGAATATCCTACACATTTTTTAATCCATTCTATCATTAATGGACATTTAGGTTCCTTCTGGGTTTGTGTCATTATGAATAATATTTTTACACATGTTTTTTGTGCTCATATGCATGTAATTCCCCAATCCTGGTCGATCTAGCTACAATTACTGGAGAATGTCAACCCCTCAAAAGCAAGAGCAGTGTTTGAACTTCTGACATGAGACCATTTCCTTAGGGAAAAGTGGCTAGCCAATTGCTGGTAGATTCCATCATGGTGGGAGTAGTAGTAGGAATGGCATTTCTTTTTCTGACTAGATCTGAATGTCAAACACAAATTTGTCTGCAATACACTGAGAGAATCACTACCTCTGGCTCACAGAATGCCTTATTCATCGCTTTGGTAGTCCATATAACATTATGCTGAGAAAAAATAACTCATGTTTTAAATAAATACTTGTAATGGTGTAATCATACCTATAAAATACATGGAGTTTGCTGTGTACTCCATCACCTCAAAGCAAATAGTCTGGGAGAATAATGTGATAAATTATGCAGGAAAAGTAATGCTACCAGCTGGGGGAAAACATATAAACTAGAGGTGTTACCACAGGATCTGGTGCATGCTTCAGTAAGACACTTTATATTGCCATCTCCTCCTAGTCAGATTACTTAGTCCTACTAAGGTGTGGGAGGAGAAGTAAGCTCTTTCGCTTATCATGCCTTAACTGAGGGGAGGCAGGGCGAGGCCAGCCCAGACTGTGCCCCTTGGCATGTCGATTATTGAAAGCAGAAAGCCATCAAGGCCCAGGAGACTCAAGAAGAATTTTTAATCTTTCCCTTAACTTCCCAACATAATTTCCATAGGGGATCTGTACCAAGAAGAAACCCATCACCAAAAATAACTTTTTAGATCCGAAAGACTTATCTACATGGCACGGCAAACATTTGTTTACCTAACATTTGTCTTCACAGCTTCCTGTGAATTATCTTTCTCCCCTTGGAAATCCCAGACCTGTTATCCGCTCTCTATTTCCTCTTGGGCCAGGATGATATATAAGCCTCAACTACCTGACTGCTGGGGAATCTCTCCTGTCTTTGTGAGCTTTCATATGTACACCATTAAACTTGTTTTTCTCGTGTTAACCTGTTTTATGTCAACTTAATTATTAGGTCAGCCAAAGAACTTGGAAGGAAGAAAAACATTTTCCTCTTCAACATAACCAGCTTCCAGAACCTTTTTTTTCCTATCTTCATACTTTGGATTTGGCAGTTTGGAGGTCCTGCTTCCCAAGACAGATATATTTCTACTAGAATTTTATCTAATTAAAATCTGAGGTTTTACCACAAACATTATGGATACCTCATACCATTTTCTCAGCTAAGATGGTTAAGTCTGATTATCAAGGGGAAATTATGTTGTCTAGAAAAAATGAATGTTTTTGAAAGAGGAAGTTAATTCATGAATGGACTGGAAAAGTTTCAGAATTATCTCTGGAGAGACTGGATATATAATTTTGATTCATGGATAAGAAAAGGAAAGTAGAGTTTATCATGTGTCACTTAAAGTTTGAAATTACCCTGGTGACCCCGAAAGTCAGTTTGCAACACGCTCTACTGGTTAATAGACACTTCTTGAAAACAGAAATGTAAGTGACTAATAAACAAATAATAAGTTTTTAAACTTCATTAATAACAGAAAAATTCAAATTAAAATCACAGTGTCATATCATGGCGTACCTATAAATGTGCTAAATATAAAAATCTCTCAATATGGACAGAGTGCGAAGGGAGATCAATGAAAACTCCCATACTATAGTCATGACTATAAATTGGTATCCTCCACTTTGGAAAACATTTAAAAATGTTCAAGTAAGTTAAAGATAAACATGTCTTGTGACCTGATTATTTCATCCTTAGGAATGCATCCTGATGAAATTCATGATACTGTCTGTGAGGCTTAGTTCTGATATTGAAAACTGCATGCAGATGGCAACATAATGATCAAAAGTCACAATGACTAATACAACAATTTCTATGCCAGTGAGAGTATTGATAAAGATCATTTGTGAGATAACCTCAAAATTGATGACTCCCAAATTGAACTAGAATATTTCCAACCTCCAGGGGATACGAGATATAGACAGGCAAAGTCAATAATGCCTATAAAAATATCGATGGAATTTTTCACAGAACTAGAATAAATGATCCCAAAATTTATATGGAACAACCAAAGACCCTGAAGATCCAAATAAACCTTGAGAAAAAAAGAACAAAATTGAAGACATGTGTTCTAATTTTAAACTATATTACAAAGCTATGATAACCAAAACAGTATAGTACTGGCACAAAAAGACATACATAGATCCGTGGAACATAATAGAGATTCTAGAAATAAACTCATGCTTACATGGTCAATTAATCTACAACAATAGAGGCAAGAATATATGACAAAGAAAAGATGGTCTCTTTAATAAATGGTGTTTGAAAATTAGACACATACATGCAAAAAAACAAAACTAGACCACTTTCCTATACCATATACAATAAAATAAACTTACACTAGATTTAAAAATTAAATGTAAGGACTGATACCATAAAATTCCTAGAAGAAAATATGGACAGTAAACTCTTTAACACCAATTATAGCAATAATTTTTTAGATTTGTCTTCTTGGGCAAAGCAAAAATGAACAAATAGAAGTAAGTCCTTTTTACACAACAAGGGAAACCATCAACAAAACAAAAGGGCAACCTACTAAATGGGAGAAAATGTTTGTAAATTATAAAGCTGTTAAGAAGTTAATAACCAAAATATATAAAGAATTCATACAACTCAATATCAAAAAACAAACAATCCAATTGAAAAATGAGCAGAGGGCCTGGATAGGGATTTCCCCAAAGAAAATATACAGGTGACTAACAGACACATAAAAAGATGCTCAACATCACTAACCATCAGTGAAAAGCAAATCAAAGCTACAATGAAATATCACATCACATCTGTCAGAATGGTTATTATAAAAAAGACCACAAATTACAAGTGTTAGTGAAGATGTGGAAAAAAAAGGGAATCCTTGTGCACTGTTTGCATGATTGTTAACTAGTGCAACCACTAAGAAAAATAGTATGGAGATTCCTCAAAAATTAACAATGAAACAACCATACAACCCAGCAATTCCACTCATGGGTATTTATTCGAAGAAAACAAAAACACAAATTCAAAAAAATATATGCACCTCTATGTTTATTGCAACATTGTTTACAATACCCAAGCCATACAAGCAACCAAATAAGAAAGATGTGACATATATATATATAGCATAAAAAATAATGAAATCTCCCTGGATGGTTTAGCTCAGTGTTTGGAGCATTGGCCCATGGACCAATTAGTCTGGGTTCAATTCCAGTCAAGGGCATGTACCTGAGTTGCAGTTAGTCCTGGCCCTGGTCGGGTTGTGAGGGAGGCAACCAGTCAATGTGGCTCTATCACATCAATGTTTCTCTCTGTCTCTCTCTCTCCCTCCCTCCCACTTTATTTGATAATAAATGGAAAAAATCCTCAGGTGAGAAATTTTAAAAAACTTAAAAAAAAAATGAAATCTTGCCATTTGTGAGAACATGAATGAACCTTGATGGTATTACATTAAGTGAAATAAATCAACAGAAAAAGACAAATACCATATGATTTATAAAAATGAAACAAAATTATACCTATGATGGCTTATTGATTATTTTCTTCCATGAGGTTACGTGATTAAGGGAGCTAACTCTGCCATGGAAAAAATAAGATCTGTATTTGATTTCTTTGACTAATGCTCCTGGATTGCATACCCTACAACATTGTCTGGTTGGTCCCATTACAGTGTGACAGTCCTTGACAACACAGCACTCCACCATAAACAATGGATTCTACATAAAGAGACTATTTGCTAGTGTTTGAGTTGCGTTAAGTCTTTATTTTCAAACCCTTACTTTAATATCCATTACAGAAATAAATGGCCCCTATTCATTTAAAAAAAAAAAATGAAGTTTATATTTAGTCTAGAGACAAATATTTGCTATGTAAATTTATTTCCAATTTGATTATTCACATAAGTGAAGAAACATTGTGTTTTACATCATGTTCTGTAAAGCATTTACTCCACAAAAGCTTAAGAACACTTCCTTTTTGTAAGGAGGATAGAAAGGAAAAATATTTGAAGACTATTTTCAAATCAAGTGTTTCAAGTCAAATATCCTTAAAAAGAAAGATTGTTACCACCCGATCTCGGATCTGCTTGGTTCTCACCCCATAAATGATGGGGTTAAGAGCAGGAGGAATTATCACATATAAATTAGCCAGGAGAATGTGGATATAACGTGGAATATTGTGGCCAAATCGATGAGTCATAAAGGAGAAAAAGGCTGGAATAAAGAAAGCTAAGATAAAGGTGGCAAGAGCATACAGTGGAGTAAAGACAGCCTCTTTAATAAATGGTGTTGGGAAAATTGGACAGCTACATGCAAAAAAATGAAACTCGACCATCAACTTACACCATACACAAAAATAAACTCAAAATGGATAAAAGACTTAAATGTGACCCGTGAATCCATAAAAATTCTAGAAGAAAATGTAGGCAACAAAATTTCGGACATCATACGGAGCAGAATTTTCACTGATACATCACCTAAGGCAACAGAAATAAAGGAGAAAATGAACACATGGGACTACATCAAACTAAAAAGCTTCTGCACAGCAAAAGAAACGATCATCAAAATGGAAAGGCAACCCACTGTATGGGAGAACATCATTGCCAATGATGTATCAGATAAGGGGTTAATTTCCAATATATACAGAGAGCTCACACAACTCCACAAAAGGAAGACAAAGAACCCAATTAAAAAATGGGCAGAGGAGCTGAATAGACACCTCTCCAAACAGGACATACAAATGGCCAAGAGACATATGAAGAAATGCTCAACATCACTAATCATCCGAGAGATGCAAATTAAAACAACAATGAGGTATCACCTCACACCTGTCAGAATGGCCGCCATCAACAAATCATCAAACAACAAGTGTTGGCGAGGGTGTGGAGAAAAGGGAACTCTAATACACTGCTGGTGGGAATGCAGACTGGTGCAGCCGCTATGGAAAACAATATGGTGCTACCTCAAAAAATTAAAAATTGAACTTCCATTTGACCCAGTGATCCCACTGCTGGGAATATACCCTAAGAAGCCTGAAACACCAATCAGGAAGAATATATGTACCCCCATGTTCATAGCAGCACTATTTACAATAGCTAAGATCTGGAAACAGCCCAAGTGTCCACCAGTAGACGAATGGATCAAAAAGCTGTGGTACATATACACAATGGAGTACTATGCAGCGGTAAGAAAGAAAGATCTCTTATCCTTTGAGACGACATGGAGGGACCTGGAAAGTATTATCCTAAGTGAAAGAAGCCAAGCAGAAAAAGACAAATACCACATGATCTCACTTATATACGGAATATAATGAACATAACAGTCTGAGGAATACAGTAGACCCAGACACATGGAAGTAGGGCACAGACTGACATCCCTCAGAAGAGGGGATGGGGGGTGGGGGGGTGGGAAGAGATAAACCACAGAACTTATATGCATGTATGCATGACCAATGGACATGGACAACTAAGCCGGGGACAGGGTGGAGGGGGTGGGGTGGGGGGTGCCAATGGGGTAAAAAGGTAAAATATCTGTAACAAAAAAATAAATAAAAATTCATAGAAAAAAAAAAAAAAAAAAAAGAAAGCTAAGATGACACAGACATGGGAACCACAAGTATTGAGTGCTTTGAGCCTGGCCTCCCAAGATGGGAGTTTGAAGACAGAATGTAGAATCTTCGCATAGGAGATAGCAATCAAAATAACATCCAGAAGTATCATAGAGATAAGAACTAATCCAAATATTATATTGACCTTTATGCTGACACAAGCCAGACGGGCAATGCCCATGTGCTCACAGTAGGTATGAGGGATAGTATTATGTCCACAGAACGAAAGCCTTAAAAGGAGAAATACAAGTGGAAAAACCAAAACAAAATTTTTCAACATTCCTACAACAGCAATAATACAGATAGTTCTGTTTGTGAGGATTGTGTTGTATCGAAGTGGGTGGCAAATGGCAACATAGCGGTCAAAAGCCATGGCTACAAGCATGAATGTTTCAAAGCCTGTAAACAGGTGTACAAAGAACATTTGAGCTAAGCATCCCCCAAAGGCAGTCTCACTAAGACCAAACCAGAAGATGCTCAGCATTTTGGGAACGGTGGCAGTGGAGAGGCCCAGGTCAGTGAGGGCCAGCATGGCCAACAAGTAGAACATGGGCTGGTGAAGGCTGTGCTCAGTCTGGATCACAAAGAGGATGATGACATTTCCCAAGAGGGCAATCAGGTACACTGTACCAAATGGGAAGCCAAGCCAGAGTTGCATATGTTCCAGTCCTGGGATTCCCAACAGCAGGAAGGACGAGGGGTGAATACATGACATATTGGCTGGAGACATACTGGCAAGGGCTTCTGATGTCACATCCACTCATTTGAAGGAATGTTTAGTTGTGTACAAGGCTTCCCACTGCCTCATCAATATTGCTAATACTAAATAAGAAAAAAAAAAAAGATGTAATTTGTATAATTTATCTAAAAATACAGAACAAAGGTCATGTTTTCTCATAGACTTCTCTTCCCCTCATTTACTCTCATTAACAAATATATGACAAATAAAAAGGATTTTTCTAACAAATGAATGGATATTTGGATGTTGCTCAAGATAATCTAAATTAATTTTACTGTGAATGTAGACCAACCCAATTGATATAAGAGTCTATATTAGGCTTTTACTTTTTGATATAGTTAATTATTAATTGGGATAATTAAATTGATATCCCACTGTTAAATGATTATCATCTGTGATCCCTGGCAATAGTGTAGATTTCAAAATCACCCTTTAATTTGTTTAACTAGAACTATGAGTCCAATATATGCCCTTGGGCATTTCCACTTATAACCTGCTACTTAATATGGCCTCTCTTTCTTTCTCAACATGCTTATAAATAACTTTCATTAAAATCTAAGCACAGCCCTGGCCAGTTTGGCTCAGCGGCTAGAGCGTCGGCCTGCGGTCTGGAGAGACCGGGGTTCGGTTCCCGCTAAGGGCACGTACTTTGGTTGCATTTTGTCCCCGACCCTGGTTGGTCGTGCGGGTGGCAGCCACTCGATGTGTCCCTTCACATCGATGTTTCTCTCTCTCTCTCTCTCCCTTCCTCTCTCTCCCTCCCACTCTATCTGTACAAAAAATGGAAAAATATCCTCGGGTGAGGATAAAAAAAAAAAAATCTAAGCACAGCTCAGCCGGTGTGGCTCAGTGGTTGAGTATCAACCCATGCACCAAGAGGTGCACCAAGAGGTTACCAGTTTGATTTATGGTCAGGGCACATGCCCAGGTTGTGAGCCCAATCCCCAGTGGGGGACATGCAGGAGGTGGTCAATCGATATTCTTTCTCATCGATGTTTCTCTCTTTCCTTCTCCCTTTCTCTCTCTAAAATCAATTAATATAATTTTTTTTTTAATCTAAGCGTATATTTTTTTCTCCTTCTTAATTTCTGTTGTTATTTTTTGTTTTTGTCATTGGTAGATGAAGACATTTGCTTTGTTCTTTGAAATAAAGAACTTGCCTTACAAGGCCACTGATTACACAAAATTCAGTGCAACATAATTAATCTTAAATATAAAACCACCACTTTTTGCCCTGATCGGTCTTGCTCAGTGGTTAAAGTGTTGCCCTGTGGTCCGGAGAGACCCGGGTTTGGTTCCCACTAGGAGTGCGTACCTCGGATGCAGTTGGTCCCCAGCCCTGGTTGGTCATGCCAGTGGCAGCCACTCGATGTGACCCTTTTGCATTGATGTTTCTCTCTCTCTCTCTCTTCCTCTTTCTTCCTCCCACTCTACCTGAACAAAAAATGGGAAAGTGTCCTAGGGTGAGGATAAAAAAACCAAACAAAAAAACACCACTTTTTGAGAGGTTGACTCAGGCATAAAGCAGTGATTGAACCTTTCCAGGTACCCATTTATTTCTCCCATTCTTCATAGCAGACAACTTGGCTTTACTTCATTTCTAAATAATCTACATTATTTTCAACTTTGTTTCTAAATTGAAGATCATGGGTGTTGTTGTTGCTGTTGTTATCATTGCTATTAGAAGAAAGAGAACAGTTATAAAAATATAGTGTTCATAAGCATTTAACATTATTTCAATTTCACAAGAAAATATTAGACAAATTATATCACTTACCACTCCCATCAGCCTCATGAGAAAAGCAGATTCTGGTTCTGAATAACTGGATTTCTCTTGTCTGTGTGGGTCATAGGTGCAGGTGAGGATTGTGTCCATCCATCCTCAAAATGAAACTACTCTGACCTCCTGGCATTCCTAGTGCTCTGCCCAAATGTAAGTATTCAGTGATCCTCTGTTTAGCCTTGTATTCAGTTTCTTGAGCTACATTGTTCTCATAATCAGTAGCCCTAGATTTCTTCCCAATTTACTTTTCCTCATTCTCTACTACCTGTTGAATATTTTACAAACATAATTGGTCTAAATACACATTTCTAAAGAAGAGGGAACCAAAAGTGAGTAAGTTCTTAAAAATACTACATAAAAAATAGCCCATTGAGCCCAGCTGGTGTGGTTCAGTGGTTGACCCATGCACCAGGAGGTCACTAGTCTGGTTCCCGATCAGGGCACATGCCCAGGTTGTGGGCCAGGTCTCTAGTGGGGAGCATGCAGGAAGCAGCCAATTGATGTTCTCTCTCATCAATGTTTCTGTCTCTCTCTCCCTCTTCCTTCCTCTCTCTAAAAAATATTTTTTAAAAAGAATAGCCCATTGAAGATGATAAAATAATATTAATAATGGGAGGCATGACCTTTTCCTAGAAGCAAGGGAAGTTGAGACATTGCATCATATACAACAATACACTTGGGATTTTAGACAATCAAAGTAGACTTTAAGAATGCAAGAGGTATGACTCCATGAGAGAAAAGTAAAAAAGATAAAATCTCTAAAAATGGAAATACACCTGCTGAAAGCATCCCCAAAGCAGATGTGAAGAAAAGAAGAGAGGAACCAGCATCCTCCTGCTATTAATTCTCAGACTTCCACTGAGCTTGGTGTACTGGCTGCTAATAGTCTCTCCCAGAGCCCTCTCATTCTTCTACATCGCTCTCTGTATGGGTATTTAACCAATGCCTGGGTTCCCACTCAATTGTAAGCTTCATGCATAGTTATAGAGGGGGCCAGGAAGTGGTTTTGTTCATCATTATTTCTCTAGCACCACAGCTGCCACTCAAAGTGCTAATGAAAGACTGAATGAGTAGATAATTATTAATTTTAACTCCTGGTCAAAAGCCCTCCTGTTAGAAGAATGATGGGCACACAATGCAATATACTGATGTTATAACATAAAATTGTACACTTAAAACCTTAAACTTGTAATAAATGTGGGAGACTTCCATGTAGGAGAGAAACAAACTAGGACAGAAAGTAGAAAAAAAGAATTGCTTCAAAATCTATCTAGATCTTTATCCCTACTTAGAATGAACAACAAAAGCTCAAGAACAACAGCATTAGAACCAGAAACATGTCCCGCCAGGTGTTCTGCAGTGCTGAGTAAAAGACACCTCTCCTTGAGATAAAATTATTCCCCTGCACAACACTGAGCAGGTCTAGTTCAGAAGCAGCTGCCGTATGCTAGAAATGTTTCAACTCAAATTAGACCCATCCCCATTCACAACTGTATGAATCAAGCAGCTAGTTAGTAAATTGACAATAATAAAAAAAGAAAATAAATTTTCAAAAAAGTAGAGTCATCTTTCTAACCCATGCCAAATAGATAGAAGGTGGATAGCTAAATAAATAATTACATGATCATGACCTAGGAGAGAGAAAGAGGATTGTCTTATTTTTTCCCAATGTAGACAGACCCTAGTATCAGAAAAAAATAGTAAAAGACAGACTGAAAGAGTCAGTAAGTAACAATTTCCTTCAATAGCAATTTTTACAGGAAAGAAAAAGTGATATCAACTTTTAAAAACTCATTATTTTTATATTGCTGTGTGTTTCTATCTACAGCTTATATATTTATTGCTAAAATTGCTTGATAATATGGGAAACTGAAGTGAAAGAGAATATGTACATAAACATGTCCTGATGTATGTCATATATGCGTAAATCAGAATGGAAAAAACTGTGCTTTTAAAAATCTATGTACTATTTGAAATCTGAAGGTATTAAATTATTGAAGCTCTCCACCATTAGTGACAATGAAATAGAAACAGAAAATTATTGATTTAAAAAAATGTTGAGAATAAAGTTTTTTTATATTAAATATATAAAAACATTCTGAAATAACCAGCAGCATAATACAGTTCAATAGGATTAAACTAAAAGAGAGAATTATTCTGTTGTTGTTGCTGTTGTTGGGCTATAGATTTTCTTTTCTTTTCTTCTTTTTAATTTATTTTTGTTACAGATGTATCTCCTTTTCTTTCCCTGTTGACACCCCCCACCCATCCCCAGCTTTGTTGTCCATATCCATCAGTTATGCGCACATGCATATAAGTTCTGTGGTTTATCTGCCCCCTGCCCTCTTCTGAGAGTTGTCAGTCTGTACCCTACTTCCACGTCTCTGGGTCTACCCTCTTCCTCAGACTGTTATGTCCATTATATTCTACAAATAAGTGATATCATGTGATATTTGTCTTTCTCTTCTTGGCTTGTTTCGCTTAGGATAATACTCTCCAGGTCCCTCCAGAGAAGATGTGGTGAGGGCAGTGATGAGGAAGGGAGAGAGCAAGAGAGGAGAGAAAAGGAAATGAGAGAAGAGAGGAGAGGAGGGGAGGGGAGGAGGGAGAGGGCAGGGGAGGCAGAAGGAAGAGAGGGAGAGAAAAGAAAGATAAATTCAACAATATGTCAACAAAACAAGTTGCTTGTTTGACTTTAGTTTTTACTATTTTTTTCCTTATCATTAAAAGAGTCATACTTGTGAAAAGAAATGATAAAATACTAAAATACGTAACATTACTTGAATGTTCACCAATTAGAAATAAACATGCAAATTATTTTTATTTATCTCATTCAAATTAATATTTATATAATACGTAAAGTGAACAAGAGGATTAAATCAATAAATCCAAGTCCAAGTCTATATTTTCAAATACATTTGGGAGCTAAGCCTGTAGACAACTCACCAGGCTCAGGTATGGCCAGTTCTACACTTCTGACTAATCACTGCTCCAAGCATGTCTCAGCATCATTACTGTAGTTCAAAGAGAAAAGTTTACACTGGAATTGAAAATCCTTTCCCTGACGAGGAGTAGCTGCTCTTCTGGGGCTCCATGGGATAAGAGTCTGGAAGAAAGTGAGTTCACAAGTTCTCACCACAGGTTTATGGGCATAAAAAAGCACATGGGCAAAGGAATCCTTTGGGACTTTCAAGTTGCTCCCCTTAGG